TTTTGGTAATAAAAAAATATTAACTTTTATATATTATATAAATTCAATATTTGTATTTTATAATATATGAGTTTCAATAGTCTAAACAAATTGAATTGATGTTTTTAAAAATTATGAAGTTTACGATTCAAAATTTTATATATAAAACATAAAATTTGTAGAATTGACTTTAAAATTAAATATAAAATTTAAAAAAATTTTTTTAAAAAATTTAATTACAATTATTAATAGTATTACTATTATATTTCAATTATTATAAAATGCACCTATAGTAGTTTTGCACCTATTTATATAATAGTATGATTTATAAACTATATGCATAATGTATTTATGTGTAATTAGATGATCTCGATTATATACATGACGTGTATAACTTTACGTATATACTAATTTTGTTAACTTTTAACCTTTATTATATGAGTGCTGCCAAGAGAAAATGTCTCTTTGGACTTTCAATTACATTTTGACCGAACACATTCTATTTAATTTATTAAGAATTGTGTTTAATCAAAATGCAATTGAAAGTCTAAAGAGACATTTTCCCTTGGCAGCATTCATATGTTAGAAATTTTATAATACACACTAAATTTAACTTCTAACTTTTACTCTGTATAACTATATGATAGTATAACATTGCACTTAAAAACTTGTATATTTGTAGTAAAAATCAATAGAACCTATTTAGTATAGTTCTTTCAAAATAGCAAGTGAAGATGAATTTGATATAGCAGAATTATGCTTTTCAAGTAATGTTGAGACGAATATGTTCGATGAAATTTTGAACGTTAACAGACAACTGCAAATGGCAGAAGAAACTATTGGGTTACCTGGATCTAAAACTGAAATTGACAAATTTATTGATTTAGAGGAAGAATTATATCCTCTAACAAAATGACAGAGTTTTGTGAATTGGAAGGACATTGAGAGGTATATTGGAGTAAACTTTTTTTTTTTTTCTTATCTTTTTTTTTATGTTCAAGTATTAACTAGTTAAAGTTATCTTGCCAAGTATGAGCGTGAACAAGTATTTGCCTTTTCATTAGTGAAAAGTAAGTTGGATAAAAATGATAACATTCCAAAACATCGTGTCTATTGCTATTCAAAAGGACATCGTTATGAGGCAAAAAAAAAGGCATATATGTTAGAAGAAAGAAACAAGGCACATAAAAATACTGGGTGTGAGTTTCATATTAATTTGCAAAGGTAGA